GTTTTATGAAAATTGACGATAGAAACACCAGCTTAACAGCAAAAATAACATCATAAACAACATCAATGAAACATTTCCAGCAACTCAAACAGCAACAACACCGGCAACAACTTCGACAACACCAACAACTTCGGCAACACCGACAACAACTTCGACAACAACAACTACTTCGACAACAATAACAACTTCGACAGCACGAGTAGCAGCAAGCAGCAACAACAACAACACGCCATCTCCTCGCATCTCACAGGAGTTATTTTCATACGATGACAATTTCAGTTTTGCTGACAAGCGTTTCAAAAAAAAATATTTATAGGACATCCGGCTTGAAAACTAATTTTTCTGGAAATCTTTTTTTTCTCATTTTTATGTTCAGAATTTTTTTTACATTTTTTCTAACGTAAGTAACACTTTTTTTTTACATTTTGTATCAGGCAAAAGCATTGCAAACTAACAAGTCTGCATGATTGTATGTTTCTATTTTATCCGTTGTATGTTTGCATGTTTGTTTGTATGCTTGTATGCTCATATGTTTGTATGTTTGTGTTCTATCCTTTGTACGTTTGCTTGTTTGTTTGTATGCTTGCTATTAAATATTTGTGTTCTATTTTTTGTATGTTTGCATGTTTGTTTATTTGTATTGTATATTTAGGTTGTTTGTATGTTTATAAACATAACTTAATTAACAAAGTTGATATATGCTAGAAAAAATAAGTTTTTCAGCAAACGAAAAAAACTACATAAAAAATTATTCGGAAAAAAGGTGAAAAAACTAGAAAAATGCAAAAAAAAACAAATTAGATGCTTTGCCTTTGAAGCAATCTCCAATTCAAAAATTGGATTTCTGTATTTTTGTTTCTGAAAACGATTTCTCATATTTTATTATTTTTGTTTTATAATATCTTTAATGTAATTTTCCTGCATTTCATCATAACCATACGCAGCAGCATCAACATTATATAACTTCTCACCAATTCTATTTTTCTTTCTTGACATTGATATGTTTCTTTTTCTCTCTCGCTTTTTTTCTTTTCCTCTCTCTTTTTTTCTCCCTCTCTCTCCCTCCCTCCCTCTCTCTCTCTCTCTCTCTCTCTCTCTCTCTTTCTTAATCCTTCCATTACTCTCCTTTCCTTCTGGTTTAATTCAATGTTCAACGTATGTGTGTGTGTGTATGTGTTTGTTTAAATTTTACAATGATAAATGGAAAAAATGATAGTCTTAAAAAGTTACCTTACAAAGTTAACATGATATATCTAGACTTGTTAATATGTATTGCTATTGTATTTGAGATGAAGTGACACATAAAGAAATTGTTAGACGAAATTTTTTATAAAAAAACACACACACACCGCACACTCAAACACACACACACTAAACTTGGTGAACGATGATTCAATTTTTAAAATTTTATACACAGTAAAGCAGATTTTGCTAAATTAACATTTTTTTTGTAATAATTTTACACGAAAATAAACTTTAATAAAATGATTTGGACAACTTTTAAAATGACAAAAAGGGACGATGAGTCATATAAGTGAGTAACTCATTATTTGCAAAGTTGAAGACAGCAATAATATCGAAAAAGTCAGCGATAATGATGATGATAAGGATAAAAATAGCGCTTAAAAACAGTTAAAAACTAATTCTATGTCATCATCATCATAATTACCATCATCATCATCATCATCGCCGTCGTCGTCGTCATCAACATCATCATCGTCATCACCAACATCGTCATCATCACCATCATCAACATTCTCACCAAGAACAAAAAACACACCACCACCATCATTATCATCGCCATCAACCGTTATTTCCATCATCTTAATTTTATTCCTCTTAAATTGCCATTGTTTACATTTGCGTTTGATTGACAAGTGAATGGGCGGAACCATGTGAGTGTAGAATGATTTCTATTGGCTGGCGTTGGCAGACGTCAATAAAGTTGCATCCCGCTGATTGCGTCATAGGTAGGCATGCAAACCGTTCTTTCTCATATTATCGCTCGATATTGCTGTTGTTGTTGCTGTTGTTGTTGAGAAAATGATGATGTTGATGTGAGGAGAAAGAAGAAGTCATGGTGAAGATGTTGACGTGAGAAAGATGATGATGATGTTGTTGTGATGATGTTGTTGTTTTGATGATGATGTTGATGTAAGAATGATGATGATGGTGTTGGTATAATGATGATGTTGATGTTAAAGTTATAATGATGCTACTGTAGTTGTGAAGATGATGATGACGTCATTGTCGTCGTCGTTGTTGTTGTTGTCCTGACATCAAATGTCATGGAACTGATGTTAAGCATAAAGATGGCTAAAAAGATTGTGGTAAAAGTTGACGATGATAGAGATGAAACAAAATTTTAAATGGAGAGAAAAATGATAAAGAATGTGGTTCAAAGTAATGGTTTCCTGATAATGATAACGATGATTGCCTGATTATGATAACGATGATTGCCTGATGATGATGATACTGGTGATGATGATGACGATGATGACGTGATTTATGAAGAAATGGAAAAAAAAGATGAAAATTACAATAATGATGTTGCTGCTTATTATAGTGACCATGCTATTAATGCTATACGCTCAAAGGACGGTGACGATATTTTACTCATCCAGTGGAGATGGTGGTGATGACTGATAAATGATGATGACGTGATGATGACACTGATAATGATAACGTCATGATAAAAAGATCACAATAATAATTAAAACAATAATAGCCATAATAATTATATGGCCAACCCTGACCGCATGGTTTATTACCAAAAGATTCCATGTAACATTCATTTAGGGCCATTTATATGCAGTAGAGTTCGGCGTAGTGGTGATAGTAGTGGTGGTAGTGGTAATAAAGGTGAATAAAGGTGGTAGTGGTGGTGGAATGAGTTTTCTTGGGGTATGAATGATCTATGGTAGCGAGTTTCTTCAACAATTTTTGTTTTTTCATGTATGTTTATGAACATTTTTGATTAGTTAGATGAGTTTGATTTATATGTTTGTGTGTGTGTGTGTGAGAGAGAGAGAGAGTTGTGCGTACGTGTGTGTGTGAATTGAGTAAAAGTGTGTGTGTGAGTTGTGTGTAAGTGTGTGTGCGAGTTGTGTGTAAGTGTGCACAATTCAGTGTATGTATGTATGGCAATTTATTTGTAAGTTTGTGTAGACACATGTTTGTTTATGTGAGCGAGTGCGTTTAGTTATATATTTATCTGTTGGTTTGTATGTATGTATGTCCGCACATATGTTTGTACGTACGTGTTTATATGCGTGTGCGTGCGTATACATGCATACACCAGACACACTTGCTTACAAATAAACACATAAATAAATATGTACATATATACGTATATTTCCACGCATATACACGCATAGATATATACACAACACACATATACACACATGTATAGTTGACAAGCAAGTTTTTATATACGACTAGTCATACATAAGATATAGGTGTGCCACGGCAGTATGACGTCACAAAATATGAGAGATGTGCGAATGAACGTTCCTTATTACCCGCCTGCTCTCCCTGTTCTTTTAAAATTCTTCATACTGGCGTGTCATTTCTGGCGAAATATTTTCCAGCTTTTTCGTTGGATCGTTTGATTATTTCTTATTTTCGAATTGTCTGTCAATTCTTCTTATATATTTTTTTATATAGAAATTTGTTTTTTAGGTAAATCAGTTGTTTGTTATGTTGTAAAATACATTGGCTGTTTTAGGCGCAATTCATTTGTTAGCTAAACATACAAATTGGATGAATGTTTCATATGACAAAATAGAATGTGAATAGCAAATACATTGTTTATTGGAAGTTATAATGAAATATGATTTTATGTTATATTATTTTATATTACTAAATGTGTTGACTAACTGCTGATGAAGTGATGTAAAATATATTTTTCGAGAATAAATTTCAAAATATTTTAAATAAAATTAATTGAAATTAACAACTTTATAAATTAGGATGTTAAAACAGAAGATGATGTTTGGAGAAATTACCTCTAAACTATTTTTTCAAATTTTCATTGAAATTTTATTTCAAGTAAATATTATTAGCTATATTTCGCAAGTAGGCAACAACGTCAAAACGATAGACTGTTTATAATACTTTCCTGATTTGGTTTTTAAATGAGACAATGTTAATAAATTAATATTTGAATACAACAAGCATACCTTAATTCTTATCATACGGCGAACATCCGTGACTATTACTTTCATCGTAGAGGCCAACAACAACAATGACAACACAACAACAACATCAGTGCAGTAGCAGTTTCATTTAACAACAACCACAACGGTTTTTACCATATGTTTCAAAGTTTCTAAACAACACAATCAACATCATCAACTAAAAATGCACCAAAACAATACTCATGTACCAACAATTTGAATACCAAATACAAAATTATTCTAAGTAATTCAAATAAAAATTTACCGAATATTGCAAAAATAAAGAAAATACACATACACACAGATAGACATAAAAAAATTAAACGAATATATATAGACATAAGAATCATGTTAGATCTACCTTTCAAAACGTGCTTGAGACCAGCGAGTGACATGTTGACGCAGCAGCAGCAACAACAGCAGCAACATCAGCTTCAACTGGATATGAGTAACCAACGCATTCAACAACAGCACCAGCAACATACGAACAACCGCAACAACTATAACAACCTTCTCAGCGCCGACTCGCTTATGAATTCCAATTTCAACTCATCAACTAACGCTAATAGCAGCAGTAGTAACAGTACCAACAACAATGGCAGTGGAACCAATCATCATAACAACAATACTGCTAACAACAACAACAATAACATAAACAACACCAACAGTCGCAACGTATCTCACCAAAATTCAACGGCTGGCAGCCACAAAACCACAAGTAACAACCACAACAACAACAGTAGCAGCAATAATAACACGAACCAACCACACCACCACCAATCCAGCAACAACACAAACAGCAACAGATCGTCATCGTCAACAATGACGCACCACAACAGCAGCAGCGGCGGCAGCAGCAGCAACAACAACGCCATCGTCATACCGAACATCGATCTCGACAAATCGTCATCCAAACAGAAACGTCACAGAACTCGCTTTACTCCGGCACAACTGAACGAGCTGGAGAGAGCGTTTTCAAAAACCCACTATCCTGATATCTTCATGAGGGAAGAACTTGCTCTCAGGATTGGCTTAACTGAATCCAGGGTTCAAGTATGGTCTTATCAAGTTTTTTTATTCAATAGTGATATGAGAAGTACGCTAACTATCATTAACGTTAATACCACCTTTACTACTGTTGCTGCTACTCCAGTTGCTACTGCTTATATAATTTTAACTATTACAACTACTGCAACTATTGCTGTTGCTACAGCTACTGCCACAGCTACTGCCACTGCTACTATTACTGCCACTATTATTTCCACAATCACATCTACTACTACTATTTTTGTCCCTACTGCTACAACTACGGTGCGGCCGCTGCCACAACTGCAGCTGCTACTACCAAGTGGTACAAATATTATATTTTATACTATTCTCTGATATTTAATAACGAATATACGGTAAATATTATATTTGAGCAGTATCACTTCAACAGTAATAAGAAATGTGTATGTTGGGCTTATGAAATATTTTAACTACAGCGTATTAGGGTGATCACAATGGTATGGTTGAATTTTTTAAGAAGACGATCTGTGTCACATGGCTGAAGAATGACATTTTAAGGTTATAGCTGATATGGCAAAGTCTTCACGTCGGGACATACAACAGAAATGCTCTGAAACAAAACATCATATCAATGATAGAGTTAATGTTAATTCTAACAATTTATTGCTAAAAATTATCTAGAACTATTTATCTCACAATAAAAAATTGATTTAGAATTAATTTATGCAGTTTATCATTTAAATTTTAAGTTTGTATTGGGTGTACTATAAATTTTATTTGTTTATGAATAGCGTTTTATATAGTAAAATTACTAAATTACTAACAGAATTACTTTAACAAATTTTTTATATAAACAAACTTAAATTGAAATTTTCCATAAATGATGAAAGCGTTATTCTAGCAACACGTCCAAATAAAACACCCTTTATCAGAAATATTATTATTTAGATTAATTTTAATCAGTTAGATTGATTTGATAATATGATTAACGTTTATTTTAGTTGCAAACTGTCATCAACATTATAATTATCATCATCATCATTATCAATATCATCATCACCACCACCAACAACAACAACAACAGCAATAGCATCTTCGTCGTCACCCTAATCCTCATCATCATCATCATCATCCTCATCATCATCATCATCATCATCATCATCATCATCATCATCATCATCAATAACAACAGCAACAGCATTTTCATCGTCGTCATCATCATCTTTATCATGATAAATTAATGAAAGCAGCATTAAGAAGCAGCTTAATGTAAAATGATTTATTGGATGCAATGAAGAACCAGCCAAACAAACCACACAACACAAAACCGCGCCAAGGCCCTGCCACGCTACACCACACCACTCCAAGCCGTACCACGTCACTCCACAATTTTAAAATGCTAGAGATCTACAAAACTGAAAAACATTTCTATGTATCTTGTTGTCAAAGCCAAACGGTTATAATAAAACATCCACATAATTGAATTCGAATACAATACACTCTTAGCAACAAACAATATCACACACACACGCATACACAAAAACAAACACATACATACATACATACATACAACGCACACATCTATACAAACACACAAACACAAATTCACACACACACAAACACAAACACACAAATCCATGCACACACTTACACACAAACACAAACATACAAATTCATACACACATACACAAATACACACACAAACAAACACAAATACACACACACAAAAACAAACATACCAAACTCACCCCTACTGATCACGTGATCTCGCGGATAGAAAGAGCTGTGACGTGGCAACGGAAATAAACAGACGACTTTCAACAGAAATTTCATCAACATCGCAACATGCTGACGTCATGGTGATGTCATATACACACAAACATACGTAGACACACACACACACACACATATAAATATATATATTATGTATGTGTGTTGTGTGTGTATGTGTGTGTTGGGTGTATGTGTGGTGTATGTATGCATGTGTGTGTGTGGTGTATGTATGCATGTGTGTGTGTGTGTGTGTGGTGTGTGTGTGTGTGTGTGAAAAGCTTATTGACTACTACAATGGCGTTAGAGTTGATGAGGTTTATTATAAAAGAAGAAAATGAGGATGATGATGATGAGAATGATGACGGTGATGATTGTAATAATGAATAATATATTAACCAACCAATCAAACAATCAACAAACCAATTAATTACTCAGTCACTTAATCAACCATTCGATGAAATAAATCAATCGACCAATTTAACAACAAAACAACTATTTAAATAACAAATCATTCAGCCAACAATTGAGAAAACAACAACTTTTACAAATTTTTATGCAAATTGTTTTAACAAATCAATTATTTCATCTGTACCATGCAAACGACAAATACTTATTTGCACACACACATATACACACAAACAAAAGCACACATACAACACCAATACGCGCACACATACAAGCATCAGTATACACACATAAGCACATTACATACAAACACACTTGATTCATTTAATGAAACTGTATGCACGTGCAAATGATGCGTAAGATGCATATGTAACAATTGTACGTATATGTTTTTGCGTGATTTTATATATATATATACACACGTGTGTGAGAGTGTGTGTTTGCGCGTGTATGTGTCCGTTTGCGTGTGTGCGTGTGTGTGTGTGTGTGAAATAAGCAGCAAATGGATGCTCTAAAATATTCTGGATAGAAAATAATAAAGTCTCGAACCAACTGCGTGACAGATCGTCATCGGCTTTATTCCTTCATTTTTCATTCTTTCATTCTATCAATTTTTTTATTTTTTCATTTTTCATTTCTTCAATCTTTTATTTTGTTACTTATTCCTTATTCCTTTTTTTTCTCCACTCTCTCGTTCTTTATTCCTTCATTTCTTCATCCTATTATTTTAACATTTTTTATTATCGCGTTCCTTCACACCATCATTTTTTTAAATTTTTACTCTTTTTATTCTGTCTAATAAATCAATATGAGTGCTTGTTTGAAAGCAGCTGCCTTCTAATTTCAGTCAGTGGCGGCAAATAAGGGTGGTGGGGGTTGACCATGGCAAATTTTATCGCCCCTAGACATTATTTGCTGATTATTGATCAAAAATTAGTTGGTCATATTTAGGTGTATCCTTCAAAAGTTGTATCGAATTCAAGTATGGGCTAAATGGGCTACAGCTCAGGGCGGCAGATTTAAGAGGCAAATTTTGGGAATAAGTTAAAAAATAACCTGAAACAAAAGTAAAGAAAAGAAACAAAACAAAATTATATAATCATTAGAAACATGAGCTTCTGTGGAGAGATGGAATTTAATTTTCAATGAAAGCTAGTTCAAACTTTAACACTGCATAAGATTTCCTGTTTGCTCGAAAGTATAAAAAATTTGTGGACAAGTCTAGAAGAAAAAATTCATTTTTGACACCAATTTAATTAAACCATGTTTAATTTCGTTTGGTTATCTTTTGTTCATTTGTAGTTTATATAATTTATTTGTTTTTTATGTGTATAATAAAATATTATAAAGACGTGAAAGAGTTTTTAAGCATACAAAAGTTTTGGAAAGCTACCTTTTTCTTCCAAAAAATCATCTTCAAAATCCGCTTAGAAACGCCCATATTTGTGTTATAAAGGTTTGTAATCTCATATATATAGATACTCTACTTCAAATTTTGGCAACTTTACTGTGTCAAATTGCCATACCAGGAAAAACATTTTTAGTCTACAAATTGCCTAAAAAATTTTGAAGAATTAAGATGAAAAATAAAATAAAAAGCTAAGAAGCACAACATCCGAAAATATGCTAAATGGAAAGTTTGCTATAATTTAAATTTAGATACCAGACATATTGTAGAAATACCTAACTGGAAGAAAAAAACTTTTTGTTATAAACTAAGTTGTTTGCTATTTGCAGTTTTATTTTCACAATGAAGAAATATAGTATTTAAAATATTAACATTTTTACTTTCATACTATTCTTTTGTTGCTATATTTATGACAAGCATTTGCGTTTGACAGATTGTGAACTTTGTAAAGAAAAATAATGATTTTTGAACACGCCCTCAAAACAAACCCTGGCTACGCCTATGACATCACAAATTCATTTGCACGAAGGAAACGCTTATGAATATTCTGGAATGTGAAGACTGTGTGTGTATATAAGTTATCAAAACGGTTTGTCCTCATTTTGGAAGCTGTAACAAGCAAAATGTTGGACTGTCTCATTTTAATTTTAGATTGATATTTCATTTTTTATTAATGTGTTGTATGTATATTTTATTAGATTTTACTAGTAGGATGTAACAATTTAAAGACATTATTTATATCTATATTCAGTGAACAGTAATTTTTTATTTCTTTGTTAAAAATTGGATAAAATGTTTATTTTTTTATTCTAGGCCTATATGAAGCCTATCAGTAATTTTTATCTTCTAATGCAATGCTATTTCGGAACAGTAGCAATATAATTACTAATATTAAATTGGAATTGTTTGTTGATCAGTTTGAGTTAAAAGGGAGAGAAATTAAACTACAAAGTTTCACTGTTAGAAGTATTTTTTAAAGTATGATTTATTGTGTGAAAGGGGCACGAGACTTGAGGCCTGCAGCGATGCTCTCAGAAAGAGGGAGGCGGCATTATATTGATAGCCCAGAGAGGGGGCAGATTTTCAAATGCGCCTCTGTCGAATGGTGGATGCATTGGTAGCCTTGTTGGGATTCTTTTCTTCGAACTAAATACTGATCACTCATTCACATTCAACTGAATTAAATAAGAAAAAGTGCTCCAAAATAAAAATATATAAATAAATAGGCGTGTGCATGTGTTTTTTTTTTGAGCGTGCGTGTGTGTGTGTGTGTGTGTGTGTGTATGCGTTGGTAGAAGAACATAAGCTGGAGGAAAGTGTTGAGTTTGGTCGATCGGTTTGTCGTACATCCCTTGACGATTCGATTCCGATCCGATTTATAATTTAGAATTTGACGTGTGTGTGTGTGATGTCTGTGAGTGCGTGCGTGTTTGCGTCAAGTTGTGTCGGTGTGCGCTTTATAGACTGTCAACACAAATAAAATTACGCTGTTTGATGTGCAAAATTTTTTGTTTGATATATAAACGCATTTCTACAAATATTTTAATCCTAATAAACAAAATCGCTTTTTTACGAAGTAGCAATCAAATCTGTTACTGTTTGATAATGATAACAAAACAAACACTTTTCCAAGTTACTATATTTTATATAAAATTGTTAAACAAATTCGTGCAATTTCAAAAAGAATCATACATACATCCATTAATTCTGGATTAAAAGGTCTGATGGTTTTATTTTTAAATTATCTCAAATGCCGGTATCTACCTGATTCAATTCTGCGCACTGCTGT